CAATATAATAAAGCTGATGTTCAGGGTCTGAGTAAGATTCAGCAAAATCGGCTGCTCAGATGTGCGGTCTATTATTATTACTACTGCTCTTCGGCAGCTGCTCTGCTGACCTATTCACAGCAATAGCCGATATGCAACGGATGCTTGGAGCTGAAAAGGAGGTTACCACCGTCATTGACAAGTACATCGAGGCCGAACAGAAACGACTGGAAGAGCTGAAACGGTGAAGATATCCTTACTTCCTCTAATTTATCACATAAATCGACGAGAGCAATAAGAATACTGATTCCTTCTATAGGAGTAAAATTGAAAACGACTTAGTTGTCAGGTGAACATAAACGGGCTATTGATTGGGGGTTACCCACGAGGGTATGGAGGTCATAAATCTTACCCTTACCTGCGCGCTCCAACAAACGGCGACTGCGACTAGACCTACCGGCCGTGCACGCTCTTTGAGTTAAGTGGTCACACCGAAGGTGATGTCTGACGATGAGAAAACTGGTTGGGATCGAAAATGGAAGTGCTCGAGCAAGCAGTAGAATGAATTGTTGGCCATTAATTGGTGGCCTTTCAAGGAATACCGCTCGAACAATACCGAGCTCTAACAGTCCGCTTGCTTATGCAGTGGCACTACGGAAGTAGTGTTTTCACCGAATTCTTCGAAATGAAACTAGTGAAGGATAAGTTGGGTTATTAGATTTATTAAGATTACTAGAATTAGATTTCATTCACTTGTAATTCCCTCGATAGAAGAAACCACTTAAAAGGGATCCATGACACCTACAACCCAAAGACAAGAATAAAAATTGGTCTTACAGTGGGAGAAATGAAGTCGTCCTGCTATTTTTGCGACCAAAAAGGCAAGCGGTACATCACTTTTGCAAAAAGCGGCTACGACATACTCCACGATTCTTGTCTGAAGAATAGCACTAGAAAAGTTGCTGATTAACAATCGCGGCATAGGGGTCGAGTTGAAGTTGTCATGTACGCCTTCTGCTCTCTGCGGCGAAACTTGTCTACATACACAGACTGAACTATTGCAAAGTAATAATTCGTGTTGCAAAGTAATAAAACACAGTTCTATCGAGGTCGATTGTCTTTGAAAGAATTTTTACTTTCAAGATTCGCTGACGAGTATATCGATCGCAATAAAGATGCCGAGGACGTTGGGCCCGACTTTGTCACAAATCCGATCAACGCCTATCTTCTCATAAAACGTTTAACCACGGAGTGGAAAAAGGTATACCTAAGTTGAAGCTCGATCCGCTGAATTCTGAAAAATTTGAATGGTTTTACTCCCTGGCTGTAGCTATGGAGACAAGAGGATGTAGGAAAGGCTATGCCACCATGGGCGAAGTTGGAGAGCTTGGCTATGAAGTTATTGGTTGCTATTTCTTTATGGTACTGAGGTGTCAGGAATCTGGGCTCGTCAGTCATTAAGGTTGGGCTATAAATTGGAACTTTGCTCTCAGTATGTCCGATTAATAAAATGATGGACGAGTAGAAGTGTAACTTAGGGAACTTCGTTGTTTTCGTGTTATCTAGGAACAAAATTGGCATCTCCAAATCTTTTTTGACACTATTTCATGTTGGAAACAGTGGTGGCGTAGTGGCAAGTGGCGCACCATCACTCACGCATAGTCCAGGGATCGAATCCCGGACCGATGTCTGTCTAGGCCAACCAAGCCTTCCATCCCTCCGAGGTCGGTGCATTGGCGCCAGGGCTGTGAGAGAGGTTGTACATCGGCTAGTCGCCCAATTCATTGTGTAGGTTATATACCCATTCATAACACCATTACGCTTCTGAATGGGAGTCGAATGCCGAAGGCGAGATTGATTAAGACTTAATATTTTTTCTTCTATTTCACGTTGAAACCAATCAGGTTATTTTACCGGTCCTTACAATGTTTTCTATGATGCCGTTTGATCTCTAGAGTCATTTATGGAAAATTTGCAGGTCGAAGACATTATGCGTACGAATAAGGCTGAAAGCTTCATCAGAAACATAACAGAAAATCGGATTCGAAGCCAGGTACGGAACTTTTTTCACCGTAGCAGTTGATGAAAGCTATTCAACCCAATGAGCATCTATCTAGTGCTGGCCAATTCTTTACGACCTCATCTATAAAATTTAATAGTTTTCGGCGAACGCTGCCATCAATCATCTTCATCATCATCATCATCAAGTCGTTACTATTACGGACNAAGAATAGCACTAGAAAAGTTGCTGATTAACAATCGCGCGAATTGAACATTGGGGTCGAGTTGAATGTCATGTACGCCTTCCGCTCTCACCGGCGAAACTTGTCTACAGTACACAAACTGAACTATTGCAAAGTAATAATTCGTGTTGCAAAGT